GATTTGAACCTGGCTTCTTACCCTGCTTGCTGTTGTTTGGATGCAAAGCATGTGATGTGCTGGGAATTTCTCTCAATGTATTTCTGCTCCTCACACAATAGCAGCTTTCTGTTCCTCGGGAAAGCTAGAACCTCAGAGCCACTCCTAAAGAGATACGATTGATCTGATACAGGTAAATAAAAGGTAATAAAATCTCAAACAAAGCAGGTTACATGGAGGTTAAGAATCAGCAGAAAGGATCTTGCTGAGTACACTAAGTAACTATGTGGGTTTGCCTTGCACCCTTAAAACAGACACTTTCAATAGTCTTTTCAGAGATCTAATACAACCCTCTGCAGTTGAATGCTAAGGTGTTGCTACGTATGATAATTTGTGCTTACCCTAGTTATAATGCTGCAATGGAGAAAACCAAATCCATAGAGGTCGTGGTGTATCTTGGTCACATATCCAGTAACAAGTAACCAGCCACAGGCAGGGAACATTCAGCCCCCCCAAACATAACTAGTGGGAGAGAGATTATACTAATCAATCAGTCAACTGCTACTTATAAACAGCAGAGACCCAAGAGCAAACCCTTCCCTTTAATTAGTTTGAAGAGCAATATTTATCTTCCTAAATCAGACTGTTGCCTCTGCAACATCATAACTCACTGGTCTCCCATTCAAGCAGAAGGCTATTCCCAGATGGAAAGCAGTGGTTCACCGGCTTCAAACTCCACTACAAAACACTTTCCTAGGAAACACACACCTCACTAGAGAGTGAAAAATTAGTGGATGCCAAGCTGCACACGGAGGAAGTACTCCACAGCAGGCACAAAGGTGTCATTAGGATGAATTACAACTATATTCCCACAGCAGCTACCACTCAAGACAGTTAATAAAGTTAATTGATTGGTGAGATCGTGACAAAGAATTGCTCTGTAATTTTGCCAGGAGTCCCCGTGCTCTGGCGTTGGAGAAAGACGTAAATAGAAGTCTCCAACAGCCCTCCGCTGTCCCCGCCGTTATTGCTGAATTATTCTCTTGCCAAACCCCAAAGGACTAATAAAGACATTATTACCAGTAATGCAATGCAGGGGTATCAAACACATCTGGCCCAGAGGCTGGATGAGTGGTCCAAGGGCTGGATTAATGGCACGTGGCTGGCCCCATAACCTGTATGGGGTCCACAGACCTTCCCTTCCCCACCCCCCTGCAACCTCAATGCTGGATCCAGCACATGCAGCACTTGTTCTGGCCAGTTTAGGACCATGCTACAAGCAGCACCCACACAGGGGCAATTTGGGAAGCGTGCCACACCCGGTGCCTACTCCAGCTGGTCCAGGACCCACATGACAAGCAGCACCTGCGTCTCTGATCAAATGGGGCAGGTCCCACATGTGGTGCATGTCCCAGACTGGCTGGGGTGGGCATCACATACAGCACGGGTCCCAGGCCAACTGGAGCAGGTAGTGTGTGAAGCATGTGCCCCAGACTCTGCACACAAGGCCAATCCGGTGCACACTACATGCAGCATATGGGTCAACTCCACATTCACGGGGCAGCAACCAAGGACTGGATGATGGGGCTTCCTGAACTGTATTTTTATACAATTGATGCAATTAGTAAAACAATTGATAAAGCATCCTATGCCAAGGCCCCCAGGGCACCACACAGCCACCCAGGTTAAAGCAGTGCTTAAAGAAAAGGCCTGGTCCTGCAAAGTGCTGAGCAGCTCCTCAAACTCTCACAGATCCCAAAGGACTGTTACTGCTGCTTCTTCAACAGGCACTGCGTACCAACAGCCACCCACACACACAATCAACTGCAAGACTAGCGCACAAAGGCTGCTTACAGATGTGGGGAAAAAAACGGCACTTAACTTTAAGCTTGGTGCACCCCTGCACCAAGTACAATGCGTGCCCAGAAGAGGCATCACATTAGTTTGACCAGGCTCGTCCAATATCTGAATCGATCCGGCACTTCAGGGGGGCTTTTTGGTGCTTTTATCTAAGAGCTGATTGAATCAGCTTTAGATAAAATTGACAAAAAGCCCCCCTGAAGTGCTCGATCCATACAGACGCTGGAGAGCCAGGTCGAACTAACATGCTTCCTCTTTTGGTAAAGTGCTGTTTTGGGGGGTTTTTCAGGTCTGACAGCAGCTGAAGTCTCCGAGCCGGTCTTCAGAAATGGAAGGATCAGGCCCAGATCATTCAAGGTGCTGAGTACCCTACACGTGCCACTGCACTTGGTGCTCAGCTACTCTCAGGACAAGGCCCTGCAGAACTGCAAAGTCCTGGGGGATATAGACAGCTGGCTTAGGAAGCTGTTTTATAATAGGAAACTTGATTTTTTTTTTTTTAAATCGGTTACATACGGATAAAAGAATTATTTCCATAAAAGGTGATATTCCGTCCCAGTGTTTAAAAAGACTAGGATACCCATTGCACATGGTGGATTACTATAAACACTGCTATGGTGTGTTTTGTATTAGTCAAGTATTAACTATTTTTGTATCCATTTGCTCCTCACTTTGTTGGTCTCACTGGCAAAAAAACCTCCCGCTGGGAGCCGACCCAACGAGATTCAAGCAGAGAGGGTGATTTATGGGAAAACACACATGCAGATCGCATGCACAATGCTTCTTCTTAGGACTTTTAACTTCACAATTTGGATTCAGCATTCTCACATATCAAATGGTTGATGCTATTACACAGGGGAAAAGGAAACAGCAGGATAGTTGCTCTTATCGCTACCTGAAAGAGGATCTTGCAAAATTAAGTTGCCTCAGCAGTCAAGGCACCCTAAGGGGGCTGCAGTCAATTTGCTGCAATTAAACCCAAAGTCTTATTTTAAAGAGAGGCGATAGAATGGCCTCATTGCAGGATCCCATCCTGCACTTTCCCCAAGGAGCAGCCTTGTAGTTACAAACTCCAGTAAACTTATTTTCCATTTAGGTTTTTTTTTTTTTGTTTTTTTTTAATGATTAAGGCTTCCTTTGTTTCACAGTGCTTAGTACATGCATAGCTGCTTGCATCTTTGAAGCTCTCTGCAAATACTAAGTCAGCCTTGTTACAACACATGAGCGAGGCAAGTGTCACTCATTTTACAACATGAGACGGGGAACGGGGAAAGCCGTCACAGAGCACGTGATTTGCCTAGAGCTGAACAGCAAATCCGTGTTGGAGTTAAGGTGCGGGAGTTTCTAGTGCCCGGTTCTCTGTTTAGTTTGCAAGGCTCTGCTGCCTTTCAGCAGCTGATCGTCTCCTGGAGCTATTTATGAACGTGACTTTTCTAGGGATGCTGGTGACTACATGGCAGAACCCAGTTCAGGATTTAGGGCTCTCTCAGAGCCCATCAGCCAACATACCCAGGTCTGATCCAGAGACAGCAAGAGCCTTTTGAATTCTGTCTTCAAAAGGCTTTGAATCAAGCATTCTCAGGAAGCCTGAAAATCAATTCAGCCACAAGCGGGACAGCACATTAGCCTTGCACACACAGGAGGGGGAAACTGGAGGTGCTGCAACTCATCTTCTTAGCATGCCTAAGAAGCCTGCTCCAAGTGCTCACCTCCGTGGCAACCTCAGTGGGCTTGCAGCAGGCTTTGCAACTGGGATTTCTGAAGGAGCCCAAAGGAATCAGGCACATCAATTCATTGGAAGTTGAAAATTAACACAATTTGGTTCCTTGGAAAATCCAGGCTTCTGTGCATTACCCCTTGTTACTATTATTGTGCATTATATTATGACAGCAGCCAGGTGGTCCCATAAAAAAGGAGACACCTTTGTATTTGGGGGTCTTACAAAACCCAGAATGAGCGGCAGTCTCTGCCCCAAGGAGTATATAATCCGAACACGGCATCCAAGTCAGGTCGCTGCAGGAGGAATCTCACCCCCGAACTCCTCCCTTCAAACTCAGACTTTGGGAGAAATTAACTACCAGGGAAACCCACTGCCCTCTCCTTCCCATTCCCACTACCAGTTAACCCAGCTGCTCTGAATCCTCCACTCGGAGATGAAAACTCAGCCTTGGCATCAGACCTCCAAGAGCCATCCTTAAAACGTTCGAAAGATCAGGGGTTTGTTCAGTGCCATTCCCACCTTTGCAATCAGAGGCAGGGAACAACACCACCTCATTAAAAATGTGTTTTGAGTCTATTATAGTATCTAGGACAAATTGTTTCCTAGTATGACACGGCAAGGTATATTTTGTCTGAGCAGCTTTAAAGAAACACTTGCCGTGACGACTTATTAGACTCTAACAGGTTCCCCATCTCCTTCCAGCGCTGTTAAATGAATTTCTCACTCAACCAGCTATCTAGTTTCCCCCAGTCTTGGTGGCAGGATACCCTGATAGTAAGGTCTGCCAGAAGGGCGGTCCGTGTTCAACACCACGGTTCACTCAAATCCCTAACCCCAGAAGGGACGGTGCAATCTCCTGCCCGAGGCAGGAAAACCCTTCAGCTCACAGCTACGAAGCGGGAAGAACGTGAGCACTTCAGAAACGTGACGCCCAGCGAATATGGGAGCAATGCCCAGCATTATCTCACGAGGCGCACGATCCAAACGCCCGCTGAAGTCAGCCGGCATCTGTCTGCTGACCGCGGCGGGCGCTGGGTCGGACACTTTTCTAGCAGCAAAGTCTTGGCTCGTCCTCATTTGTGGGCAGCAATTTACAGCTCAATTCGTGACCCCTTTTGAGCCTGGCTGATACTGGTGGAGGGGGCATCCGTGCAACTATCCAATGCTAAACACGGGCACGCCTGCTCGTGTCCAACCGGTCCCCCAAAACCCGTCTCTCTTGGTATCCCTGGACCCCCGCGGAAGGGGGGGGGATCCACGAAAGACGACGAAAAAGTATTTGCACACGCGTGCTCACAACCCAAAGGGTAGCAGGGCCCGCAACGACATGTTAAAGAAGGTCTGAGGAGCATCCCAGGGAGTTTGGGGCTGGGCGGAGGAGCAGGTTGAAGGCGCAGGGCAAGGGGCAGGGGCAGGAGGGCCCGGGGCCGGGGGAGCTCACCTGGCGCAGGTGCCGGAGCAGCTCGGTGGCCTCGTGCTGGCGGCCCTGCTGGACGAGCAGCAGCAGGTCCTGCACCAGCCCCA